TCACGTCCTTGGCACTATGGGGAAGCGGGATAATCGGGTGGCCTATATGAACCCAATAGCAATGGCCAGATCAAGGGGTCCAGTCCAGTCTTCAGGGCCAACGATACAAGGTTATCTGAATCGACCAAGGCCCACATGGGAAGAAGTGAAAGAGCAACTAGAAAAGAAAAAAAAGGGCTCGAAGGCATTGGCTGAATTCGAAGAAAAAATGAATGAGAACTGGAAGAAAGAACTAGAGAAACATAGGGAGAAACTGTTAAGTGGAAGTGAGAGCTCATCTAAAAAAAGACAGAGAAAGAAAAAAGAAAAGAAGATATCTGGTAGGTATTCATCTTCTTCATCAAGCTCTGATTCTTCCAGCAGTTCTTCAGATTCTGAAGATGAGGATGAAAAACAAGGAAAAAGAAAAAGAACCGTTCACATAAATCTTCAGAAAGCTCCATGTCAGACACAGTCAGACAGTAAGGATAGTTTTAAGAAGAAAAAGAAGTCAAAGGATGCAACTGAGAAAGAAAAGGACCTGAAAGGACTTGGCCAAAAAAAGAAAAATGTATACTGAAGATAAACCTTTATCATCAGAGTCCTTCTCAGAATCTGATTATACTGAGGAGGTACGAGCAAAAAAGAAGAAAAGCAGTGAAGAACGAGAAAAAGCAACAGAAAAAACAAAGAAGAGAAAGAAGCATACTAAGAAAAAGAAGAAAGGCTGCTAGTTCAAGTCCTGACTCGCCATAATGGCAGGAAAAGTCAGGATTCCCTTAAAAAGAAAGTGCAATGTCTAAAGAAATTTCAACTGTGAGAAATATGACATATTTACTGAGATGCATGAGTTTTCTTGTTTTTAAAATTATTCCTGGACTTTCAGTAGCCACTGAGATGCCGCTGTGTGAAAGGGCCAGATTCGTTGCCTGTTGCTTAAACATCTTTTTTTCTCCTCCAGCGCTTAATAGCTCTGGGAGACAGTGCACTGCAGTCATACTAGTGGTTCAGATACTTGGGGATAAAGTGAGTATTCTTTACTAGAAGTATCTAATTATAAGTAACAGAAATTGAAACTGGACACGTCTTCAAGATGTGCTCAGAACTCTCCACTTGACTCTAGCTAACATTTGGAACTAGGGATTACACTGATATATCAAAATCCTTGCTCTGTAGCTAAATGAATTTTATTTTTTCCCTCGTATACTTTTATTTACCAGGGGAAGGAGCTTTAGGGAGTGGGAGGGTGGTTTGCTATCTCTTTAGCTAGTGGAACAGCGTGCCTTTGACCCTCACACATCCTATTTTTGTGGGTGCAGCAGCCATGCTTCCTGGGGAGGTCAGAGTGGGGCACAAGAAGTCTAGCCCTTTACTGAGCTGAGTGGTATCCTGGGCCTCTGTGGGTGCTGCTTTGAGGGAACCCGAGAAACAGCCCTTTGCAGCTTAGAAAGCCCCCAAAGCTCGGAAGTTTACCTCCACTTCAATAATACGGAGTATTGTTAGCATTAGATTGTGCTATGTCATTTGAATTAATTTTGACTACACTTTGACCTTGAAGAGTAATCATTTCAAATAGACACTGGTACTTTTTGAACTTGTTAGTTAAAAAATTCTAAAATGCATGTTTTATACTTTTAAATTTTCACCAGTTATGTAACCAGTGATAGTTATTTTATTTTTCTATGGATTTTGTTTAGGCTGCAAGTTTAGCTTTTGTAACTTCTTATTCTTGCTATGTTATGTTCATTTCTGTATTTAATGGCATACTTGCTGAAAAATTTAGCATGTAAAAAGCAGGGTTTTTGATGTTTTGTTGCTTATCTTTTCACAGCTTAATATTGAAGTTTACCATATTCAAGTTGAGTGGCAGGCCAGGTATGCTATATCTTGTTACATAAAGCTATTGCCAGAAACTTAGTAAAGAGAGTGTTTGACAAAGTTTGTTGTCTTTGTATATTAATAACATTATGACAAGTTAAACAACAACATTATTGCTCTTCCTGTGTCATATTTTACTAAGAGTTTGTGCCTCATATCTCTTCCTGAATTGTTTACTAGTAATGTTAATAGGAACTGATAAATCATTTTCACTTTACATTTTTATATAATCAAATAACATGAAATATAATTTGATGTAAAATTATGCCTGTTATAGAGGGTGTGGTAATTATAATGATATATGCACAAAAGATTTTGGCATGCATGACAAGAGGCTGAATAAATAGCTAT